TTTTTCGTTTACTAGAATTCCCAAGCAGACGTTCACAAATCAGATAATTCAACGTGTTGTTCGATTTATACACCAAGATACAGGATTCTCGACTTTCCCCACTTCTAGTTACTTAACTTTTACTTAGCTTTTGCTAAACGTGTACGAGTAGCCATCCGGGGTCCTGTTGAAGTCCAGCTTCCCAGGCGGGTAGAATCTTCGAGGGGGTGGCGTCGTTATAGCATTGTACTGTGGCAACGGTCTCGCTGGCAGTTGATACCGCGGCCGAGGGTTGTACGAAGGGATGGATTGAATCTCAGGCGGCGGTTGAGGCCTAGGTTGATACTGTGGCTGAGGTCTTGGTTGATATTGCGGTTGAGGTTGATACGCTAATTGAGAAGGTGAGAACTGAGGTTGTGGTTGTGGCTCGGGTTCCGGTTGTACCTCGTAACTCGGTTGACTGTAACGTTGATACGAACTGGAGGATGGAGGATTGTAACGAGGTGGTTGATAATCGGGTGGATTGTATTGCGGTAGAGGCACGTATTCTGGTTGTGGCGGAACTTGCGGGGGTGGGACAGGAATGCCGTCGCCTGTAGCCTGTTCGTTCAAATAGAAGAGGAAAACCGTTTGATTTTTACAATACCAGCACCATACACAATACAAATGAGAGTATTCGAGAGCATCACTGGCATTCTGTAGAATCATTTTTCAAACACCTACCTGGAAGCCATTTTTCCCAGCCGTATACGTCACTGTGCGCCTCTGACCGGTAGGATCGACGTAGGAGTAAGATCCACGCCGATTCCCGTAAACGTCGCTTTCCTCTTTGAACTCCACGCCGTCCTCTTGCGAGTAAGCTGCGCCGAACGTCCCATCTCCAGCCAGATATCTGGCGTCGCTCAGAATTGCTGCCTGTTGAGGTGGCTGGTATTGACTGTTCGACGACTGACACGAGATCAATGCAATCGTGCAGAACAGCAACGCCTGAAGATTTAAATTCAAATATGGAGACCAGCTTCTGGTGTTTCTTTAGCTGTATAAAAATTCTTTGATAAACAGTTAATGATAACGAGACGAATATCAATTTATGATGGAGATAATTAACAATGGTGTGTTACACGTGCAACGAGAAAGTAATCGATTATTTATTGATTGACTAATGCTGCCAGCAGTTGAAGAGCTTTGAAGCGAATATCGAAAGCGGCCACTCACGTATACGGTGTCCATAATGGAGAAATAACGACAACGAGAGGCGACGAGAAGCACAAAAGTGCCCGATGAATCGTCGAGAGGGGCGTTTTATACGGCTGATTGGATCACGTTGACCCGAGGAGGCCTTGGTGGCCGCCCGCGCGCGCTACAGCTACAGAATAATGCAGATTGCACTCTGATCTTCTACCACGCCTTTCCATTGCCATTCGGTTTTCCTCTTGCTAACTTTGCCTTTGCTGACATTTCTCCAATCGGTATTTCCACACTTACGATATAATATCCGGTGTTCAAACCGGATATCTACGCTTTTCTGTAAAAGTACAATATTATTTCTACAATTTGCAATTCAATTATTTGAAAATATGTTGTCAATTGTTGGCCTCCTCATTGTGTCTTCATGACAACGAAAATTATAGATCTTCATATACAATATACAATAATTATAGTTAGTAATTATTGTAATAACTGATAATTGATAATTGTAAATAACTGTGTAATTGTAGCATTCTATGCAATTACTAATCATCAAAACGAATAATATTATGCGAATTGATTGGCTGCGATTGTGATTTAGTTTTCGTACAATTGAAAGAAATTTATTATCTAATTTCATATCAAAACATGCCGCTTCGATTCCAAAGATTGCAAAATTTATTCTTCTTCGATTTTGGTATCGATTGTAATTCCGTTCTCGGCCGATGGCTCCGCGACGGACAAAAGCTCGGACAAATCGTTGTTCACGGTTGCAGGTAATGCAGATTCGATGCAGGTGGGAATTCTTACTTACCAACCTCGTGTTGTTACCCTGCGAATGGTTCGTGTTCAACAAAAAGTTCACGATTCTCTCGCTTTGTGCCTATGTTGAAAATGTATTTATTGATGCAAATTATTGAATTGAATAAACAATTCTTGCACACAGATTAATGTCCCCCCCCCTCCCTTGTTAGGAGGGATTAAACTCAGAAGAGGAAATTAGAATGTTACATTTGTTCCTTGAGAACGTGAATCATACTTTCTTGTTCAACGTCAGCATCAGCTTACAATATCTTGTAAAATCGGCTTATTCAATATAACGAAATAGTAGTACGAACTGGATTACGAAAACTTGATTTATAAAAATTTCTTGCAAAGAATGTATATTGAAGTTCCGTATTGCAACTAACTAGTGAGAATTTCAACATCAATCTGACGTCATTCCGTTGATATTTTTTATTCGACATACTTTTCTTAAGAAATAATGAAATGTATTTTGTGTATAGTAGGTTCCTAGAAATTTGTATCATTCGTTATTCATTTGAATATAAAAGAGGAAGGTATGAAAGTAAAAGAGGAAGTTCTGAAGGAATGATAAAAAAAATTAAATGCAGATGTTGATAAAGTTCAATAAATTTACAAAGCGATCTGAGACAATGATCAACAATTTCTGACAAAAATGTTCCATAAGTGTCAACTAAAAATACACACATATACTTCGTAGTACCAAAATTTATGACGTGGATAATGAAAGGGAATTTACTCAACGTTCTCTGCTACTGACTAACTTTCTTACTATTATTATAGAGCACGTAATGGAATATTGTTTTTCCTACGGTACGTTGTGTGCCAAGATAATTAGTATTGCATCATATCTATTTTCACCATGACACAATAAATGAGACCATATAGCAGAGGAATTTCACGAATACAATTTCACTGCACTTAATTCAAAAGATAAAGCCCAAAAATATCGTCACGTAACACAAGTTATTTTCACGCAAGCCATTCCGTGAAAATTGTTCGTCTCATGAAAATTCGTTCCTAACGAAGCGCTCGCTTATTTAACTCGATGCTGAAACGCGCCACTTCCCATTTCCTTATAGACGATCTTTAAACGCATTTCCCTCGCGTGAATCGAATGAGGGAAAAAACTAAGGAAAGAAAACAACAGGAACAAACCATCTTCTCGGAACTCGATCTATTTCTCTCTATTCGTTATCTCATAAAACGGTATTAATCGTAACGTGCTATCGTTCGTATCCTGTCATTAACAATACTGTCATTTTACTGTAATAATAACATCGATTGATCTTCAGTTTCTTCGGTGTGCAGCGTTATTATCCTGCTTCCTTTCATTTCCATATTTCCATGCGGCCGAGTGAGTCAGCTGGCCAACTTTTGCAGCCTTCATCGAGTAATATAGTTTGATCCGATTTGATCAGACGAGTGGCAATACTTGGGAAATTTGAGAGCTATTTCCTCTGAATTATTCTCGAGATAACAGCTTCGTCGGAAAGAGAAAAAAAATTTCACCAATTAATTCAAGCATCTCGTTTCTATATTGCACTTTAAGTTGCGAAATTTGCTAATCCAATCAATAAGAGTAGAAAGATGATTTCATCAGGGCACGCGGAACGATGGAAATCGTTCGCTGTTTCGAGATTCGATAGTAGAGCAAGAACGTTCTGTTTTTCGTTAGAAGTACAGTTCTTCCTTACGATAGGACTTTCTCCCGTTCGTTTCCGCAGAGTGTGTTATCCTTTTTTCTCCTCGTGCCTTTCGAATATTACCGAGGA